AAAATGTGCAGCTGCGCTCGAAAGAGTGCAGAACATTACTTTGGTCAGCGGAAGTATGGTGAGCACACCATCGTTTTGATAGTGTGTCGGAAAAAAATCAGAGCCTGGTAGAACTCGATGAAAGCGAAGCAACTTACTCACAAACAACTTACCCTACGTACATACATACATAGATACCTAAATACATAATACATACTTACCTACCTATCTACCTACCTACCTACATACATACCACCATCGTCCCTCCATCACTCTTATACTTTCTCTTCCATTCTTGCTTTTCTATGCCCAGTCGAAATCTAGAGAAGTTGGTAACATGTGGGGTTATCCGGTCCTTTAATATTATATAACATAAGTATAATTTAATTTACATATGACTATTTAATTATGGAGATTGATATATATATATATATTTGTGTGTGTGTGCGTACTGTATATATATATATATATACATCTATCTACCTGCAGCTGGACGTGGGGTCCTCAGGTGCTGTTTCGAGCGCTTTGGCAAGACCGCTGGGCGCATGCTTTGTTTGATGGTCTTTATCCTGCATATGTCTCACTTGCCAGGCAGGACACCGTATTGGGATCCGTGTGGTTCATTGGTTCATTGGCCAACGGAATTGACAGATAGGAACATACTGCGATCTCCCATACTTTTTGGAACATATATGTATATATATATATATATTATATAATTATAGGATATTATAGGTAGTTCTCCAAGTTGTGGTGCCCCATGAAAGCTGCTGGAGAAGCGTCACTGCAAACAGGGACAGTCTGCATGAAACATTGGTGAGGTGTCGGTATGCTTCTTGGTACCAATTTTTCCCATTGAGTGCATCTGAGTGTAAGCACAGTAGTTTACGACAGTGTTTCACCCATTTTGTACAACCCAACCTTGCTCTTTAGACTTAACTTTGTCATTTCATGTCACGCTCAACTGGAAACCCTTGCCTGCGCGAAGATGCGGGCAGCGTGTTGGGGCAAAACCTCTGAGAAGCCCTGGCAAAAAAAAGATAGATATTATGACAATGATATTATTTTGTTGTTGTTGTTGTTGTTATTATTATATATATATATCGATACCATTGCCAGATGGTTTCCTTGAAGTGTTATGCACTCTGCCAATCTCATTTGTCTGCCAAGCTCATTTGTCTGCCAGTTCATTTGTTGGAACAACAGGGGAGCAGCTAAGATCAACATCGAGCTGGGAGATGCAGCAAACACCGAACCCTACTAGGCTTTTCATGTATAATGTCAACCCTGGATTAATAAACCCCTAGATTGTCTAATTGGGAGGGTACCATTTCAGTATCATGTTATGACTATTGGAAGGGTACCCCCCTAATTAATAAACCAGGGTTTATTAATCCGGGGTTGACATTACTCTATATGGTTTTTACGCCATGATAGATCCAAAAATTCACCAGACATGGATGGTATGAAGGTTTCATACCCGGCGGTAAACCCAGCAGGTTTGGCCTGGCCAAGCATGCCTTTACAGCTGTGGCCATCCTGTCCAACTATACCCAGGGCGTTGACTGCCGGAACCTGGGCTGAGATCAACTTAGCCAAGGTGTGCTGTGAATGGAACACCTAGCTAATGGAAATACATGGAAATACCCAGCTAATTGAATTTATGATGTCTCTTTCTGATGTTTTGCAGACAGCTGCAAGCGTTTGAACATGTTTGAAAGCCTCTTCACAACCATGAAAAATATACTAAGGCTGTCAGAATCCCAGTTCATGGGTTTATCAGGTGCCGGCCATGGCTGTGGTGGAGGATGTGATCCAAAATGGAATGGTCACAACGGACGATCGCGCACTTGTTTGGTAAAAGTTTCGCCTGTCAAAGTCAGGGTATTATACCAACCTATTGCTATACAAAATGATATGTCAGAAGCCCAAACCACTGAGATGTGCGAAGCCAGTGGGTTTGTATGTTTGAAGATGGGTCATTTTACTGAATCTTCCAATGCGTTGTGCCCTTTGCGCAGCAGCACCCATCATGTTTATCCATAATGTTTGGGCACAAGCTGCTGTCTTCCTTCAAATCCAACGGTGATGATTTCGTACACAAAACTGGAAGAAGTTACAAGGTGTTGGACCTGGTAGGCTTGTTGATTGATTTATCAAGCAATATAGTTCCAGAGATATATCCACCATATTATAAACATCCATAAACCCAAAGTGAAGTTAACCTTTGACAACTTAAACTGGGGCACGTTGCCACTGTATCATTCCATCCAAGCAGCCCATGCTTCAGGTGCTGGGATCTATATGGGCATTGCATGTCAAATGGAGGAGGCTCTACGTCTCTTCGGCGCTGGCCAGGAGTCACCGAAACTCAAACGACGAAACACGTTCCGGATGGATATAGGACTGACGAAATGCATAAATCGGGGTGCGTTAAAAGTTATCACATGTTGCATGATTTAACATGATTTTAACGCTCTCTCTCTCTCTCAATATGGGATATTGGTTTGATTGCTTATCTATTTATATAATATGTATATATTGTGTGTTTACTGACGAAATGCATAAATCGGGGTGCGTTAAAAGTTATCACATGTTGCATGATTTAACATGATTTTAACGCTCTCTCTCTCTCTCAATATGGGATATTGGTTTGATTGCTTATCTATTTATATAATATGTATATATTGTGTGTTTACTTACTTGCCAATTACCAAGTTGAATTGTTGCGTTTACTGTGATCTGTATTCGTACAAATACACACAAACGTCTTTGTTTGATAAGTTTTCAGAGATCAGTTTTGTAATTATATAACTGTCAGCTATTTTGATGATCATGATTATAACATGTAACATGTGCTTTGTATGTGTGAATTGGGGTTGAAATTGATGTTGCCCAACATGACAATACAACTCTTACTTGTTTGTACTTTCATACATTGATACTTGACCCACGATTTTGATCCTTTGTTGAAGGATTAGATTCCTACATAATCCTACTTTGAGGTTGAAGATTATGGATATAGTCTGAAAGCCACACATGCTTTCCCCAGAGGGCACCTCCTATTGATCCCCAGCCGAGGAGACATCAAGGGCTCCTTTGCTTCGCATCAACGAGTTGAGGGCAGCTCGTCCCAGCGATGGACCGGTGTAAAAATCGGTTACAAGTCACTGAAATCAGCCCATAAGAAACGGAATTCAAACAGCAAACTGACCAAACCATTTCAATCTGGTAAAGGGCTTTAAGTGTACTGACCTGTGATGTTGAAGGAGGAGTCAGCGATAGTTAAACCATGTTAAACCCACCAAAATGATTTTGAATGATCTTGAATGAGGAGTTAAAGTTAAAGAGCCCGCCAATATGTTTCAACACCGTGTTGAATTTCACCCATGACCTGTACTCCCTTCCCCTAATTATTAAACGGGCCCCATCAATCGTGGTTACACATATTTGGGACCATTTAAGGGGCGCCGCCGTCTCCTTGCTGTGTCGTGTCAGATCTGCAACCCTTCAGTGCACATTATTAACGGAACCCAGCTATGTTTGCCATGTTGACATATGTTGACATTCAATAATTAAAAGTACGTTGCAAACACTCTTAAGTAATCCCTTCCCCCTAATACTAACCCCCCCAAATAATAAACACCTCAGGTAGTTTTTACTATTAGGGGTGTATTTTATTATTAGGGAACCCTATGAATAAATTTAAAACCTCAATAATAAAAACTAGTTTGGTCGATTTCAAAATCAGTTAAAGTTCTTTATATAATGCAATTAAAGTATTGCAAGACATTGGATTTCGAAGCGGACTCTATCAATAAATTTAAAATCTTAATACTAAAAACTAGTTTGTTCGATTTCAAAATCAATTACATTTCCTTTTATAACGCAATTAAAATATTGCCAAAGTTGGGTTTCGAAGCGGACCCTATTAACAAAATTAAAACCTTCAAAATAAAACTATTTTGTTCGATTTCAAATTTCCTTATATAACGCAATTAAAATATCGCCAAAAATTTGTTTTCGAAGCAGGCCCCCTAATAATAAATTAAAAGGCCTGATATAAAACTAAAAATTTTCGGATCAACCCTAATAATAAACACCCCCGGGGTTAACTAGTTTCTATTATTAGGAAGCAAAGCCCACAAATGGTAGCTTTATTTTTAAATTGTTTTCTAAAGGGGATCAATTAAAGTTAAATTGGCCAACCTGAAGTTTTCCAAACTGGGAGATGGACCCTAGTTTTTCAGTATTTGGGGTACGTTTAGTAATAGGGGGAAAGGCTTATTGTTTGTGTTTTTGTTTCATATCCGATATAGACCCAGCTAACCACACTTTTTACAGCGGGCAGCTTCACATCTATTGGTTCCGTTGATGCCTCCATGTCGAAGTCAGGAGGACCTTCAAGGCTCTGCCATGCTCTTCGATCATTTGGTCAGTGGCTGTGCTTCTATTAGCTTGAGTTTTGTCAATATTGCAGATGAATAGCAGAATTGGTCCAGGTTTTGGATTGGTATTTTTTAGATGTTCATTTATTCAGAACGCGCTCATTGTTTTTTTTCCGCTCTCAAGTGCGTGGTCATGGCCTGAGGCTGAATTCGAGCTGTTCAAAAGGATTGCTGGACATTGTTTGGCATAGGAACTTTTTGGAACTTTCATGTTGTTACACATTCCTATCATCCATTCAATTGAACCCATGATGATGATGACGATGATGATGATGATGATGATGACGACGACGATGACGATGACGATGACGATGACGATGGGAATGACGATGATGGTGATGATGATGATGATGATGGTGATGATGATTATGGTGGTGGTGATGGTGATGATGATGATGATGGTGATGATGGTGATGATGCTGATGGTGATGGTGATGGTGATGGTGATGATGATGGCGATGGTGGTGATGATGATGATGATTATTATTATTTTGATGGTGATGGTGATGGTGATGATGGTGATGATGATGATGATGATGGTGGTGGTGATGGTGATGATGATGATGGTGATGATGCTGATGGTGATGGTGATGGTGATGGTGATGATGATGATGCTGATGATGATGCTGATGATGGTGGTTGTGGTGATGGTGATGATGATGATGATGGTGATGGTGATGGTGATGATGCTGATGGTGATGGTGATGGTGGTGATGATGATGATGATCATCATCATCACCAACATCGAATCATCATTGAATCATCGTCGAAACAACATCGAATCATCGCCCTCATCATCCTTATAATCCTCATTCTTGTCATCGATTAATATATCATCATTTAGCATGCTCCACCAAGTTGATGGTTTCAATGAAATATGTGGTCCCATATTTTCCAATTTACCCTTGGGCAAACAAACGAAACAATGCGAAAAACCATCCATCATTTGTAGATCCTTTTCCTAGCGAAAGCATTGGTTTTCTACATCTGTTTGTAAGCGTTTACCCTAGGATAATCTGTATCACTAGTTATCATTATCAGCAATATAGTCAGTCAGTTATCAAATGTCATCAATATATATATATATGTATATATATATGTGTGTATAACATGTATGATATATTGAAATCTGCAATTAATATTGATTATGATCAATAGTACTGGGATTTACTTGGGAATCTCTGGAAGGGCTCTTGCAGGTGGCAGTGCCCATCTCGGGGAGTACGCCTCGCTGGTGGCCCTGCCCGGCACTCGTGTCGAGGTGGACCAGAGGCTCTTGGAGGAGCGATGAACGGAGCGCTCGATGAGCCTGGTGCATTTGGTGGTAAACCCATTGAAATATAGCTGGTATTAGCTGGTATAACCCATTGAATGGGTATTCTAATTAATGTGGTACTTGGTGGGTCATCCCACAAGTTAGAATATGTGATTAACCCTACTTGTCCCACATATAACCAGGTATAGCTGGTTACTTCTGGTATAAGGACTATTTTGGTTTATGATGTGTTTGAGCTGGGGACATTTGGTCAACACCCCAATAAAACTATGTGAGAACCACTGTAACACCCCAATAAAACTATGTGAGAACCACTGTAAAACATGTGAAAACCCTTTTGAAAAGTACAATGTTAAAACCCTAAAACGCAATAACCCTAGTTTTGGTCTAATGACTATAACTACATGACTATTTTTGTTTTGATTTTATAATATTGGTAAATCAACGTTTTGGTTTATGACATTTGAGTATGCCCTCATGACTGGGATGATGTAAAACTACCACCAACTGAAATGGTTGGTGAATAGAACGGTTTATGGCAGTGGGTTTGCCACATGATGTCTGATCCAAGAACATGGATGACGCGGATAATACTATGTAAGCAAGAACATACAGGGAGTACGTTTCTTCTGGATAGATGAGCATGACGTTAGAACATGTTTTAAATTGATGCTAAATGAGAAAAAACACCTATTTTGGGGGGTGTATCATGCTATTTGGGGCTCCCACATGTTGGCTAAGTTGGTTTGTAGGTTGACTACGGCTTCTAGTAGGTTCAAATGTAGATCCATCTTAAATGTGATGGGTAGGAAAAAAAACACATGACTCGGGGCACCACATTATCTGTACTTGGTGGCTCATGGTGGCTCATCCCACTTACTAAGTAGGTCATATCCCTGGTTACACGTGGGATAAGTAGGGTTCAGGTTAATCCACTTAAAACTGGGGTTATAATCTACTTACGAAGTGGGATGAACCACCAAGTTAAAAAATGGGATGCTCCATTGAACAGTGCGACTTTCATGTCAATTTTGGCGGCAACTTGGTGGTACACATGCAATTTCAAGGCCGTGCATCCATCCCTTCATGCTGATTCTGCATATGACAGCATGCCGTATATAGTTGTGTTTTTATTTATAGATCATTATACTGTGGTGCGATTAAGATAAGTCAAATAATCACTATGATTTTTCGGAATTTGTTATTTTATTTATTCTGAGCAATATCAACAACTTCAATGCATGGGTACATGAGGCAGTGGGCAGTGGGTACCATAAATGAGGGGGCATTGAAGCATCCTTATAAGGGATGGACCCACCGTACGTGAAACATGCAGTACAAAGTGCATATGATATGTATTCAAACACAACGCGCATAGTCGACGATTGAAAAACTATGTAGTGTACATGTCCTGGTCCTGGTCTCTAAACTTTACATTTGCCACTTAACTTACCGTCATCGGGACAACCAATAATTTCAAACGACCTAAAATTCAACAACGACATCAAATGTGCGGGTTAAAATGGCCGTAAATCACAAGGTGCTGCGTCAGCGGCAAAACTAATCCAGAGGGTATGGCGCTGCAAGCCTTTCATAGGACTGCCGCATTTTCCAATGAGTTTCACTTCAATTTCAGCTGATTTAGGCCTCTCGATAGTCACTGGAGCATTTTTTGTTCCACTGATGATTCTGTACGTCTCACTTTGAGAGATTTGTATTCATAAAGGCAAAGGAAATACTTCAAGTATGCAAATGAAATGATAACACCTGCTGACTGAAGTTGCACCATAATAGAACAAACGCAAACACGCATAGTCAATATTTATTATTTGAAGGCTAGGCCACCTTCTGTAGGTGCAGCAAGCGTTGAGGGTTCTTATTCCGTCAAATTCTATTCAGGAAGTAGGGGCTGAACACATTCAACAGGGGATAGGCTCTCCTGAAATGTTAATCAGAACTTTGCTTGTTTCTGTTCAGATCAGGGTTGAAATAGAAACCGGAGAAGATCCATGTCTTGTTGTTTTCTATGCTGCTTTTGACAGCGTATTTTCGCTCAAGACAGAATTGCATAAACACCAGTGAACAGTGAATTGCGTTTTTTTGTTTCATTTCGTCGGTGTCAATGTAGCCTTCAAACTTTGAAGGCTGAATCCTTTAAAAACATATATTTTTTTCATGTATATAGTAAGTAATGAGCTCGGTTCACATATAATTACTTGGGAACCTCGAAGTAGGGAAGCGGCAGGGGCACAACCTCCAGAGGAAATCTTAGAAGTACCCCGCACTGTTCCAAAATGGCCCATTGAAAGGCCAGCCCAGATTGGCATTGGGCGGCATTGGAAACAAAATGAAGGAATGCAAAGAAATGGTAGATTCATGTGGATGCTGGCAGCATTTCTTGCTTGGAAGGCTTGGAAATCAATCCAATCACCAATTTCATGGTGGGTTGGTGGCCTCATTTTATAGTGGCTGCACCTTGGACATCTTGCAAGTAGCCCAAACTATTCCAAAATGGCCCATTGAAAGCCCAGGGTTGGCAATGAGCGGCAATGGAAACAAAATGAAGGAATGCAAAGAGATGGTAGATGCATGTGGATGCTGGCAGCATGTGTTGCTTGGAAAGCTCGGAACTCAACCCAATCACGAATTTCATGTTGGGTTGGTGGGTAGAAGCTAGCAATCTTCCAAGTGCTGAAATCAGTTTACTTGTGCCTTGACCATTTGGAAAGGGAGCCAGTCACTTTATAGAGGTTTTTTGGAATAATTTCCAGCTGGTCTGGGGCCATTCACCTTCCCGGAGAAGGTTCCAAAGGTTGCAAGGTTGCAGAAAGAGGTTCCAAAGCTCCAGGTTACAAGGCTCCAATGTGTGATGGCGCAAGGTTGAAAGCTTGCGCGGTTCCAGGAACACGCGGTTGCAGGACTCGAGGGTTCCACAGCGCTAAGGTTCTAGAGCTCCAGGGTGACGGGTTTCCAAACACCCAGGTATCCAAACCGGTCTATTTAAACATTATAAAGCGATGGTTCCATGCAGACCTTTGCCAAGATCAAAAATTTGCAGAAGTAGAGGCTAGCAAAAGTCGGCAGCGCTATTGGCTTTTGCCACAACGCCGATACAATCCAAAAAGTAGAGGCTGGCAAAGGTTGATAGTGCCGTCACTGTCTTAATTAAGAAAAAAATCGAAAAAATCAATTGAGCTGCATTTAAGGTAATTAATCGCTTTTGGAAGGATAGGGATCAATTGTCCCTATCCTTCCAAAGGTCGGTAGCGCTTATTGAGTGTTGCCAGCCTATCCTCACCGTAGTGTGGGCCATAGATTTTGAACCTTTGCAAGCGTGTTGGAATTTGGAGCCTGCATTTACGATAGTCACGCATATAGGGTAGCGCTTTTGACCTTTGGAAGGATAGGGACAATTTGCCCCGGTCCTTCCAAAGGTGAATACCTTAAATGCAGTTAAATCTAATTTTTGGAATTTTTGTTTAATTAAGGCAGTGACAGCACTATCAACCTTTGCCAGCCTCTACTTATCGCATCCGGAAAAAGGTGGGGCGCCCCGAGGCTTTGCCAGTAGCCTACTCTGATTTTTTGTCACAAATCATGTTATAGAGGTTGAACGGCGTCCCATCGTTTGTATTGAAACGTCATTTGCCTCAAACCAAGGTTTTGAAATTTTAATATGTGGATTCAGATTCATTCCTTGTTTAGTTATGAAGTATCATGTCATGCCCATCTGACCACGAACGCCAAGGGCAAGGCCATCGCCAGGCCCATAAAGGAACACACAGACAAACACTGCGCAAACCAACGCAGGCTAAAGATCAAAAGCATTGAAAAGGCAACATTCATTTGGGTATTCAATGATGCTGCTTAAGAAATGTTCGCATGGAAAACAAACATTTTGGAATTCAATACTCATAGATTCATAGCAATACTTTTTGATGCATGACAAAAACAAGTTGGACTAATCAACGATTTTGTTACGGTTTTTCCCGAGAGCGTCTGAGCGCAGGGTTCTTCCAATAGTGGGGGTCTGTCAAACATCTTCTCATCTTCACATCTCATCTTCACATCCTCTCATCTTCACATCTCATCTTCACATCCTCTCATCTTCACATCTTTTCATCTTTACATCCTCTCATCTTCACATCCTCTCATCTTCACATCTTTTCATCTTTACATCCTCTCATCTTCACATCCTCTCATCTTCACATCCTCTCATCTTCACATCATCCATCTCTCATCTTCACATCCTCTCATCTTCACATCTGCTCATCTTCACATCCTCTCATCTTCACACCTTCCCATCTTCACATCTGCTCATCTTCACACCTTCCCATCTTCACATCTGCTCATCTTCACACCTTCCCATCTTCACACCTTCTCATCTTCACATCTGCTCATCTTCACATCTGCTCATCTTCACACCTTCCCATCTTCACATCTGCTCATCTTCACACCTTCCATCTTCACATCTTCTCATCTTCACATCTGCTCATCTTCACATCTGCTCATCTTCACATCTGCTCATCTTCACATCTGCTCATCTTCACACCTTCCCATCTTCACATCTTCTCATCTTCAAATCTGCTCATCTTCACACCTTCCCATCTTCACATCTGCTCATCTTCACATCTGCTCATCTTCACATATGCTCATCTTCACATCTGCTCATCTTCACATCTGCTCATCTTCACATCTTCTTATCTTCACACCTGCTCATCTTCACATCTTCTTATCTTCACACCTGCTCACCTTCTCTCTCACGCCTTCTTTTTATCTTTCTCTCTTTAGGCCGAGGGTGGTGCCGGCGAGGAGTCGCGGAACGTCAACCCTTTCGCACGAAATAAGGGTCGATCGGCAAAAACTGAGGTAAAATTGCGATTTGACTTGTGCCGGAGCAACCCTTTCGCACGAAATGAAGGTCGATCGGCAAAAACTGAGGTAAAATTGCGATTATACTTGTGCCGGAGCAACCCTTTCGCACGAAATGAGGGTCGATCGGCAAAAACTGAGGTAAAATTGCGATTATACTTGTGCCGGAGCAACCCTTTCGCACGAAATGAGGGTCGATCGGCAAAAACTGAGGTAAAATTGCGATTTACTTGTGCCGGAGCAACCCTTTCGCACGAAATGAGGGTCGATCGGCAAAAACTGAGGTAAAATTGCGATTTTACTTGTCCTGGAGCAACCCTTTCGCACGAAATGAGGGTCGATCGGCAAAAACTGAGGTAAAATTGCGATTTTACTTGTCCTGGAGCAACCCTTTCGCGCGAAATGAGGGTCGATCGGCAAAAACTGAGGTAAAAGTGCGATTTTACTTGTGCCGTTCTTGTCTGTGTGTAAAAGCGCCTGTGTGTAAAAAAAAGTCTCTGTGTGTAAAAGCGTCTGTGTGTAAAAGCGTCTGTGTGTAAAAGCGTCTGTGTGTCAAAGTGTCTGTGTGTAAAAGCGTCTGTGTGTAAAAGTGTTTGTGTGTAAAAGTGTTTGTGTTCAAGTGTTTCTGTGTAAAAGCCTCTGTGTGTAAATGTGTTTGTGTGTGAAAGCGTTTGCGTGTAAAAAGCGTCTGTGTGTAGAGGTTGTCTGTGTGTAAAAGCGTCTGTGTGTCAAAGCGTTTGTGTGTAAAAGCGTCTGTGTGTAAAAGTGTTTGTATGTAAAAGCTTCTGTGTGTAAAAGTGTTTGTTTAAAAGTGTTTGTGTAAAGCGTCTGTGCGTAAAAGTGTTTGTATGTAAAAGCTTCTGTGTGTAAAAGTGTTTGTGTTACAGTGTTTGTGTAAAAGCCTCTGTGTGTAAAAGCTTTGTGTTTAAAAGCGTCTGTGTGTAAAAAGCGTCTGTTTGTAAAAGTGTTTGCGATGCAAACTACTGTCTTGCACTTCTCACTGTCCTGTCTTGATACTCCTCTTCTCGACTGCCTATAACAGAGCTTTCATATATCGTTTCTAATATTGCGTCTCCATACTAACAAGAGAAGACCCTGCTCCTCTACGCTCTCGGGCCATCCGTCGTCTAGTTTAAGATATAGTTCTGGACCTTGGCCAGGGGAGAACAACAGACTCTATGCTTGCTAAAGTGATCCCCTCAGCAGCAGTTTCATTTTTTGAAAAGTTAACCTGTCTCAGGTCCAGTATCTGATTCATGGGGATGATATTTTGATGCCGGGACATTCTCACTGTGTCATGTTGTTTTTCTCCAAAATTGTTACTTTGGAGTAATGTTTTGCTGTAACATAATCCATATCTACAAGACCTGTTGTTCTTTGATTTGTGTTTCTATTCTTTGTTTTGGCATCATAATAAACATCAATATCAACAGGTTGTTTTATAAGAGAATTTGACAAGTGCAATGACGGTTCCCAAAATTTTAGTTTGCGCAATGACTTGCTGGCATTAACTGTCAAAAGACTGCTTCGTTTGTTTGATGCTACTCTTTGGGGCCCTGCATATCCGTCTCTCTCTCTCTCTCTCTTGCAGGAAGGGCCCCATGTCATTGGTACTTGTGATGTGCGTTCGAAACCTCTAAGCATGTGTCCTATTTCAGTTTCTGAAAATATTTACCTCTTCGGTTGACATTTTTGTTTCACTATTTGCGGCTGATCTGAGGGCTCATAAAGAGACAATGTTGTGCTGAGAATTGTTTGGTTTGCGCAATGGTATTTGAAATGGCGAACTGCAAAACGATAATCATCGATAATCAATAGGTCGCTGTGAGTTGCTGAAAAACAGTTGTTTTTTTTGTATACATCCCTTGCAAAATTAAGAAAACAATCGCGAAATCAATGAACCTTTTATGTATATACACCATGTCATCCTTGTAGGCCGACTCGGAATGTATGTGCTATATAATTTATGCAAAAATTAAAAATAATTATAAAGATACAGGTACATGTTTAATATCAAATTGCACAGAAAACATTTAATTCATCAGACTACCCAAACGTCCATCTAACGTACATCTACTCATTACTCATGTCTTGCAAAGATCTTCAGCATAAATCAAACCCTTGTAGAGACATGGAAATATTGAACAAAAACAACACTTGGCATGAAGGTTGACTGCGATAAATGCGAATTGTCAGACTGGGGCTCACCAGCTGTTCGCATCAACATCTTTAACAGGAGAGTAGTGGTATGTTTTGAACTGCATGAATGAAGGGGGGGTTGATAGACATCTTGTGTGCCCTCGACTTGCATATGCTGTCATACGATGTCTAGTCATTTTCAAGAAAATCATGTTGGTTCTTCTATAAGCATCTACGGTGCAAAGAGTTCGAACAGTGGATCTGTCGCGATTTGACCATTTGATTTGCCCCTGGAATTCCTAAAGACGTTATTTGATATCATGGCTCTGATTGAAAAATCAAAGACACGATTTGGCTGGACCAAAAGATCTGATAGAGTGATTTGACGCTGTGTATTGTTTCTCTTGATGGTAAACGGATTTGACTATTTGAATTGATACAACATTCCGCAAATAACACTTGACTATTTGACTGTTAAACGCAGGCCAGCATATGTTTGTTTATCATGTTTTAACCAACAAAGCGGAATGTTTGGCTTTGCATATCAAAAAATGCAGACAATAGATGAACTTTGACGTCATAGACGTATAAAAACAATGTTGCATCTACATGTTATAGTTGTATATTATATAAATATGTATATATATATATTATATATATATATATATATGCATAGCATACTCATGAGAATTCCATTTATAGAAACCAATCCAATTTTCTATCTTTCGACCGTTGTGACATTTCCACTCCAACGTCTCAGGAGTCCGAGCCGGTGCCCAACGTGGACCTCCTGGGCGACTTTGCGGATCGCATGTACCGCGCGCATGGCCTGGAATCCCCGGCGCCGAGAACTGCACGGGCACGGCTCAAGGTGTGGTGGGACGTGGGGGGTGTCAAAAATGGTTGGTTTTAATGGGATTTCCTGCGGGATTCATAGAGAAAATTGATGAAATTTTGGGATTTTATGGGATTTCATAGGGTTTGGAGCAATATCCAGCAAGGTTGTGGGCAGAAGAATTAGACCATACCTAAGTCTTATCCAATGCGTGGTTCAAACCTGAATTTTTGGTGGATGAAAATGGACAACATGTCAAGAATATGGAACATATGAGCAATGAAGGAGCCTATGATACTGGTGATCCTGGTGATACGGGCGGTTATACCCTGATAAACGGGGATATCACCAATGAAAGACGTACAGGGTATAGAGTCTAAATTCTTTGGATTTTCCGGATGACACACCTGACGTGAATAGTAAATTGTAATACAGATTGAAAAAACCATGGTAAAGCTCCAATGTTTTTTTTAACAGCAATGAACACCATCGTGCGCAACAAAGATTAGATTATATAGATTGCCATTGTTTTTACATGTCTTTACCACATTGGGAAGTTGGTGCCTATGGGCCGCCTTGGAAATCTCGGGCCACCTCAGATGTGCGGCTCCACCATGTTGCTGGTGGCACCAGCGATGCCATGTCTTCGCCAACAAAAAAAGTGATGATGTTCCCCTGCGTTTACCCAGCCAGAAATACAGTTGTTTCATGTTGTCATATTTCCCCAAAATTCTCCTACATTTTCCCAGTGAGATGGGCTGCAAACCTACCATCCTTGGCCAAAAAGTAGGTGCTGATCACGAGCAACAAGCGCATGTCGCCCGAAGAGGTGGCAGAGATGACCCAGCTTGCAGATGCACAGCAGACATGGTTGTGGTGTATAGTTGCGGGCGTATCAATTAGTATCATTAACTGACTGTCATTATTTATTAGATATAAAAATTACCTTTATCCGCATATATATATATATGCATGTGTGCACATAATATATTCATAACATAATCATTAGCTATTATAAATTTCACTAGCTATACTTGTGGGAGGATGTATTGTTTATTATCACTATCTATCAACATTTATACACCATAGGTACTGATGATTACTGATGATTACCGTGACAATATAATGAGCATCATTATTACCAATAATGATCATGTTTAACCAATAACCCTGATGAGTAAGTCCTCCAAGTGGGTTATCCCATATATAAATGTCTTAGAACTATGGCTACTCTCCCGTAAACGTATACATAGATGTGGTTCCACCCACCATGAAGTTTCGTGAAGTTTCAGATCATTTTCCGAATGGGTTTCCCCATTGGTTTCCGACATCACTAGCTATCATTCGTGTAAAAACATGTCACAACATGACATAGCTATCAATATTATATATATATATATTATACACTTAAAAATTATATTTAAACATGTTCTATCACAAAGGAAGGCCTAGTTGCGAGTCGCCATCTAAGTGTAGATATATCCGGCAATTTTCCTACGTACTATAGTTGTTATTTATATATATATACATACATATATAAACCAATTTATCTAACTGCGGCCTTTCTGGATCTATCATGATTCGTGATTTAACTACCATCAATATTGCCAACAATTCCGGGTACTGTATCGCTATCATTATTTGAGAAGTACTATATTGTTGTCGTATTGTTAGTTCTGCTGCTGTTACTGCATTTTTTTTTGTCACGATAATTATCATGCATCTATGGATTTTTTCCAAATCATCCCAAATAAGTTTATGGCATGGGGATCCAACATGAGATCCGGGCACATTCACAAAGTACCAGTTGGAAGGATCAAATAAAGTAGAAAGGACCACCATATATGCTTGTTTTGAGGTCCCAGTCTCATTTGATTGGGGAACTGGAGGGTCATCATGGATCTTCTTACTCATTGCTTAGATTCGTCCGTAGCCCTGGTTTGTTTTTGTCCCCAATTTCTGGTTGATGACATTTGTTAAGTGGGTGAGCTAACCCCCTTTATATAACCAGTGACGATTCGTGGGGTGATCCTCCAAGTGGGGCCTGAGGAAACTGCGTCAGCTGGTGCAGCGATGGACGTCCGATTCGTTGCGCCGACCTGAGGGGCCTGAGGGGTGGGATGGTTCTTGGGGTTCGTGAATTATTAATGGACTATAGACGAAGGACGTCCGGAGTTTATGGGATCCCCTTACATACATATATATATATAATATGTTTATGTGAATGAACTGTTTTTTGTTTATCATTGTGATATTTATGCTTCCCCTGTGGGATGACAGAAGGCAGTAGTCCATTTCCAATTTTTGCGTGTGGAGTTTCCTTTGCGCAATTTGAACATTACTTGAAGCTCCGAAACTCTTGTGGACCCGCGCGCGCACACACACACACATCTATATCATTCTATTTTATATCATAATTAAGGTTGCACAAAACAACAGCAGCGGTCACAAGTCGAGAAGTGCCTATTTATATAATCCTCATCTTGTTGACAAAGCCAATGAAGGGTTGAGCATGCGGCAGTACTTGGCATACCTCCACAGTTTTATTTTGCCTGCATTACGGAAAACAAAACAGCAATGGCTGTTGGATTTCAACCTCTTGGAATGGTGCGTCATTGGTTTGCCGAGCACCGGGATCGGACCCCTAGAACTATCTGGAAGTGGGTGAATGAGATTCCAAATCGCATGTTAGGGGGGTTCCGGACCACTGATTTTGGTTCATGTGAAGCAAGAAAGCCTCCCCAGGGGCACCCATCGAGGAGACCATTTCGCAGCCAAGGATTGGTCCACGGTTCAACCCTTCAAAGCCCAGCTGGAGTTGCTGCGTGAGACAGATGCCCAGCCAACAGTTCTGTGGGGCAGACAGCAGTTGTTGCAGATAGGGGTTGACCGAATCCACTGAATATCCTGTTCCAGTTGCCAAGAAGGCCAGAAAACGCGCGTATGCTCAACATGCGGAGAGGAAAAAATCACTGATATGAACTGATAGGCAGGGGCTGAGAAAATCCATGGGTGTCCAGGGCCTCCAACTGTCTGGGGTGCGACCTTGTCGGTGGCAACCTACCGGAGATTTTCTTGGCCCCATCGGGACTGCCGCGACCACCCAGGCCTGGAATAAATATCAACATATATCAACCAACCAGTATAGTGCAATAGTAGATTAAATGGGTGGGATATGGGGGTATTCTTCATCCTTGACATGCAGCTTGAAACCCAGGATATTTTGGTGAGCGGCATTGGCACAGCGTTGTTCTACTCAGCATTTCTGCCATTTGGCTCTGTGTGCATCAACACTGGCTGGAAGGACTGGCTCGCTGGATGCCCACCAGTGATAGCAGATTGTTTTTTCCTGGTTTTCTAACTCCCACCATGAAAAAAGATATATCGACCACAAATCCAAGGTAACCTATAAACCAATGAGCTAACAACCTGGAGCACCACCTGGTAACTGCTCTCATTCTGCGTTTGGTAAATTTCAGACATCACTGACATCACCTAGAAATTCTTCAAGGAAATGTTCTTCCAATGTCCAGAGGACGATGCTTCGGTGCCTACCTATGGTGAAGATATCTTGGGCCTGTCCAACCGTCGAACACGCTTCCTCTATGTCCCCCTGGAGAAGCTTCGGAGAGGCATCACCTCCAAAGACGTTGAGGCGGAGATTCACCGCGCGGCTGCGTTGATTTCAGAGGGAAAGGTGGTGCCATTCTCACCAGAGACTTGGCTTAGGCAAGTGTTCAACAGAAATCCTGCTGATTGTTGGAGGATTTTCTGCCCTTTGGCTACCTGGGCTATATACCTGCAAAAACTATCAAAAACATCATGTTGAGACCCTTCGCAGCCTCAAGGGTACGCTGCACTTTTTATCTTTCACTTCGGTTTGAAGTCCTTGCTTGGGATGCTTGATCCAAACTGATCCAAAATATAGCACTACCATATTGTTGGGTATGATGAACACTCTCACTCAACCCCAATTCTTGCTCTCGTGTTTGTTCTTGTACGCCGCCAAAACTGATTTGGCAACCCCGACGAACATTTTGATGTCGAGTTTGACGTTTAGTTCACTTATTAAAGTTCGTGAAAGTATCCCGCAGATCTCACGGCCACGTTCTGGCAGTACCAAACCGCAGCAGAGAGCTTTTTGAGGACGACAATCTCTCCATCTTTGGTCGCATCATTCGTGAGCTCAGCCTCCAAAGTGAGAGATCCCGCCGGGGCTTGCAGGGCAGAGGTCAAGAGGATGGAGGTTTCTTGGATTTTTTGATGGTTTGCTCCGCAAAAAACTACCATAGCTATGGGTTTCCATTTCGGAAATGATCTACCAAGGCTGGATTTGCCAGATCTATAGTTTGTTTGCTGGGTAAATGGAGGACGCTGGGTTTGGTCTTGGGTTGGCGGGTTGATTTTGGAATTTGGGGGTGTTTTTTGTATTCACATCTTGCTGAATATATGTTGTTAATGTTGGCTGCCTAATAATAAATACCCCCCCATTTTTTTTTTTTGAGGGGGGGGGTCAACTTTCCTATAATAATCTATTTGTGGGAATCTATAGCTGGGATCTATAATCTGATCGAACCTCATCTGCCACCTCTCTGAGCACTCTGAGCACAAAAGTCTGAGTGTTGGGGTTTGGGAATCTGTCTGGATGCCCTCTGGAACATGACTCTTTTGGCAATACTAAAAGTAAATAGAGCTAATTGACTTTTAGTATTGGAGAAAAAATTGGAGTTGGAAAAAAAGTTTCTACTTATTGCCATGTTGGGTCCACTATTGGCCATGCCCTCTGGACAAGGTCTGAACATGACTCTTTTGGCAATACTAAAAGTAAATAGAGCTAATTGACTTTTAGCATTGGAGATAAAACTGGAGTTGCGGAAAAATGTTTCTACTATTGACAAGATATCACTATTGGTCAGACAACATTACTGTTTTTCAACAGGAGAGGGGGTAGCTACCTCAGATTCGCTATGGCATGTGGGTAGATCCTGTGTTGCCACATAGGCATTTTACATGAACGGACATGAACATCTTGGAGCATTTAACGTTCCAATGGGAAAGAAGTTGAAGTTGTGATTCATTAGAAACAGCTGGGCGGCTGGGCGTAGTGGATGGATCAAAACCTCTCATACCATTGGTTGATAAGCATTTGGCCCGCTATATTGGTATAATTACCACCTGAGGATGTTTAGTGAGGATCAACCATTCTACTATATTATCTACTAGTGAAAGCTAAAATAGCACTGAGGAATTTGCTCAGTATTCACCAGGACGGCCGATGGTTTTCTATACCGGGACATCGCCGATCCGGTCAGCGCATCCCAGGTTTCCTTTGCCACCAACGACCAACTGGGCAGACCTCCCTGGCGGCATCTGGGATCTCAGATCGATGGAACCTAAGTTGGATGTAACTATATATAATTATACTGTATAGAGAGAGAGAGAGACATATTATATACAGTACTTGTTGTCTCCATATTCACTGAGGCATGTGTTTAGATGAATCCTAATCAGGCAGGCAGTTATTTATTTCTACAAGAACTGGCTTGTGTACAAGCATCACTGTCGGGGGTTGGATCTGACGGTTGTTAAACCACAACATGGTGATGTTAACTGACCCTAGTCTTCTTGGTAACCTTTCCCATAGGTAACTAGGCCTTGGCGAGGAACCACAAATAGAAGCAACTGGTTTATCACGGTTCCACTGTGTTCCACTCTTTTTTAAACGTGTTTTGTCGCGGTTCCGACCTGTTTTGTTACGGTTCCAATCGCTACATCAAACCTTGGTTCCGGACACTATGTTTGGTTATGTCTCATAGGTAACTGAAGTGGTTACCCTGTCCCAAAGGTAACTGGAAGGTTAGGGTGACAGAACGAGGACATCCTTGGGTCCCCGTTTTAAGGTTCGAAATAGATAACCCTGGTCATCGAATCATTGGTTTAGATTAGTCTCAGAGTCTCAGAGTAGCTTGATGCTGAATAATCTTTTGTTTGGGACTCTGAAATCATCTTCAAGCCCAGTTTTATGTGGGGTTCCAATATGTCTATAGTCTATATGTTTCTATATATTTCCATATGTTTCCATGATCTTCTATGTCCAAGGATTTGGTCTTCGAAAGAAACTTGGACGCCACCTGGCTAAGGATGCATGGACAGTGCCGTTGTTAGAGATGGGCGCTCTCTTTGGCCGGGTTCCTCCAATCCAGAAATCGCGTGAACACGTGCCATATCCATTTGTATCATTTTGTGTCCAATATAGTAAAACCATGTAAAACCATTTTCGGACACTCGTTTTATAATGTGTTGTTCAGGCTTCAGGTTTCATATGGATCCATATGGTGTGTTTTAATTGCACGGATTTTTTGTGTCATGTGTATCAGGGAGCAATGAGGCTAAAAACTTGCTGTTTCAGCTGGATCCCATGACCTTAGCGGACGCCTGCCAGCTGGACATTCCGCTCTTACGTGCCTTGGCAGCGGCAAATGTGGGGGAAAGTGGGGTGAAAAACATCGAAGAGTTGCCATAGAGTCTGGAATTTCGAAGTTGCTTTGCAGTACTCATTTAGTTTTGGGTCACCTGTCTTATCCGTAAGTTTAATGGGAGAACCCCGCAAGTTAGAGACTTACCCCATCCTGCTCCAGAGACTCCTCACACCAGGAGTGGGTATGGGTATGGGTGGTATGGGTCAAAATTTCGCCCGGAGCTTATGTTTTTTTTGGGTAAAACATCCCCGAGTTTTCAACAAACCCCCACGAAGTCGTGGCAGGGTTCTTGACGTAAATTTCTGGTTCTCCCGGATCCTAGGTTTTCTCCCAGAAAGCGTCCCTTTTGCACCACTTGCATTTTGGATAAGATAGAAAATAAATGAAAATAGCCAGTAGAAGACCTTTATACGTATTGTCTATTGTTTGGAGGGGGTGGCAGATTTAGATTCTGTACTGTAATCTGTAATGACGTATATAGTATGATGGAAGAAAATATCACATCATAATACATCATATATAACAATTGTAAGACATTTACATGTATTGTTTGAGGGTGTGGCAGATTTAGGTCCTTCTGTAATGATGTATATAATATGATGGAAGAAAATATAACATCATATAATTAACCATGATAAGACCTTTATACGTATTGTTTGGGGGTGGCAGATGCATATGTTTATGTAATGATGTAATACTATGGAATAAAATATGACATAATATCTCAGATTTTGATTCAATATAGGGTATTGTGGGAAAAATGCGACATCATGGAACCAATGGTCAAAAATGATGGACAAATAAATGGAGGGAATCCCTATGGATTTGGATGAGAGAACTGCTAAACCGTGGCAAAAATGGTAGATGATGTGAGCATGGGCGAACCAAATTGGTTCTGCGGGCAAAATTTGGATAGCCCCAGAATTGATATTAACTATACCTATACGATGTATAAAGTTAAGTATCAAGAAACAATAAGGCAAGGACTGATGACAAATGACCAAGATCTGCGTGATCCTTTGGGTCTTCCAAGCGACCCCCAGGCGAGCTGAAGCGAAAGTACAACTTGACCAGAGCCCTGGGACTCCATGGCACCTGCGAGTGCGTTGCATGCGAAGCATGCGGCTTCTGAGCCGAGGAAAAGAGGGAAAAGCAGCAAGAGGGTGCCTTTTAGGGGGCTGAATGGTTGATGATTCATGTGTTTGACGTGGTTTCTCCCTTGTTTTCCTACTGGTAAAGGCTGTTTTCCAAAAAGTCAAGCAGAGCCAGGTCCTGAATCATTTGCTGCCTGCTTCTCCAGATAGAAATCCATTAGTTTCATGGACCTGATCCATGGTTGTAACCCTAACCAATTTCATTCAATGTCACAGTCACAATGATCAAATGATCAAAAGCATATCAGACACTCCAGCCACAATTTTCGTTATGGATCCAAAGACCTCCTGAGAAGTTACGACTAACCCCCTAGTACCCCAGCCATACTTCTGAGATCCACAGGCTTTGATGAAACCGGGTGAGGTGTATCCTGTATGGCGGCTCTTGGCAGGTCACTGATTGGTGGGTGGTGGATGAGTGCAACAAAGTTTGTGGCGGTGGAGAGGTGGGCCGTTAAGCTGGGCACGGTGTGGCTTCCGGCTGAGGAGGATCTGATGGCTGGAAAATCCCAAACAAGTAGATATGAGTGTGACCAGAAATGGGGGATAACCCAAATGACCGTTTTGATAACCTGATAACCAATATAAATAGTAGATAGTTGGATGTGACTGGATGTGCTTTTTTAAACCTCAGCTCTTGGTTGACATTTTGCTTGGAGGCTCCGCTCGATAGAAGCATGGACGGAGATCAAAATGTTGGGCTCGCTCAGGTAGATCATACTGGAAAGCAACATGGCAGTGTAGTTCACTTTGACAGCTTGAACCGAAAAGTACCCTCTGGTAAATTAGCATAGCTATTGAAAATGGCCATGTATAGTTGATTTACCCACTAAAAATGGTGATTTCCATAGTTATGCTAGTTTACCAGAGGGTATTCACTATCATGTCTCATCATGACTATGCACAGATGATGTATCATAGAGTTATTGAAACTCCATGATTGTTACAGTAGCCTTTGGTAATTTAACATGGCCATGGAGAATGGCACATGAGTATAGACATCTCCAAAAAGGTTACCAACTTTTAGGCATCTCTTTTGGGGTCGCTATAGATGATAAATCCTCTAGTAATTCAACAGTTTGCTACGGGAAATTGCCTATTTGTACATGATTCACGTATCAAAAGTGGAGATGTTCCACAGCAAAGTGTCAAAATGTGTCAAATTATCAAAGGGTCCATATCATATACCCTATGAATCCGTATGACTGTAAATCATCGTAAGTCCTTTTAAAACTCCTTAAAATCCTTGAAAAATACCTATGATTTGCCCATCACCGTGCGCTTGATTCCGGATAGGTCAGAATGAAGCGCGCCATCACACAGGAGGCGCGGGACAAGGGACATGGTTAAGATATGTAGGTTTCCTGAAATAGGGGTACCCCTAAATTACTAAATCATCCATTTATAGATGTTTTTTTATGTTGGTTTTTCCATATAATAAACCATCCAGCTATTGGGGTACCCCTATTTTAGGACACCTCCATATACCCTGGGATAAACTAACATGGAAAACCCCTGGTGAACCCTATAGGTTAAATGATCTACACATGCTGGTAAAGACCATCAATGTTTGTTTGCAGCTGGGTAACATTGGGTTCCATGTTAGCCTCTGGTTATTTTCACGTAGCTATGGAAGATCACCCTTTTTTTCATAGGCAAGTCATCATAAATCATCTATAAATGGGCCATTTTCCAGAGCTATGCTGAATAACCAGATGGTAGCATTGGATGGTTATTGGATGGCTAACTTCTAACATTCTAACATGTTGTAATATCATTTTGATGATATTGGATGGTTTCCGGATGATTTTTGGTCGGATCTTGGGTGAATCTTTTCCGTTTGCCACGCCAAGTGGGGAGAATACACAATTGACAGCGGCGGATCGACACACATTGCCATTTTCAATGGATGGCAATTCATGCACACATATATATATATATATACATGTGTGTATGTATAAAAAATGGCAAAATACGTATACGTATGATATATATATATATATGATATATATATATATATATACCAACAATAATAGTGACAACAATGATGACAATCACAATATTTGCTGGTTAAATTATTAGTTTTTATTGTGACCAATTTTCATACTATAGCGGTAATTAATATATATTGTCAATCAACAATATAGTAATATTAGTACTCACTATATCTCACTATATATTGGTATATATCTCACTTTATCTCACATACTTAAATATACTTAATATGTTTACCACAATCTTAGTTAATTACCACATATGACATATGTCTCACTGACTGGTGGGAATTCCGCCAGGCCACCGGTGGAGGAGAAGCCTGTCCGAGCCAATCCGAGCTCACAAAGGCTGACTATGGGATCCCATATGACCAAAGAAGTTTATTTCTATGTATACAGGCTAGTATACAGGTCATATTATCATTAAATCTATAGAAATCAAAATAATATACAGTATATATATATATTATACGCGCAACGCCTGGGCTTTGCCCCAGCGTTGCAGCGTAGAGGGTTCCCATTCCCAATCAAATGTTGCTGCAACGTTACATTCAATTGGGAAGATCAACACATGTATTAAGGGAATATTAAAATCCCACCCCCGTTAAACTCTACATTCAAGTGGGAAGATCAACAAAGGTATTAGGGAATATTAAAATCCCACCCCCGTTAAACTTTACATTCAATTGGGAAGATCAACAAAGGTATTAGGGAATATTAAAATCCCACCCCCGTTAAACTTCACATTCAATTGGGAAGATCAACAAAGGTATTAGGGAATATTAAAATCCCACCCCCGTTAAACTTTACATTCAAGTGGGAAGATCAACAAAGGTATTGGGGAATATTAAAGGCTACATTCATTTGATGATGACGATGATGATGATGATGATGGTGATGATGATGATGATGATGATTCGTTGCCCGTCGTTGTTGCGGTTCCGGGAAAAGTCCAGGCATTTGCCGTATACATATATATATATATATATGTATATTTATATATATATATGTATATGTGTGTATAATTATATATGTATATATGTGTATATATATATCATATATCCATATATGTACAGTTGTCATGATGTGTTTTTAGATATACTTAAACATGTATGGCTTATTGTATCGTGATATATCATTCTTACTCATACTATCATGTCACTTTCCCTTAGGCACAGCAATGATGAGGATCATGGCCAGGTGGAGCAGTGCAATATGAAGCCGTGTCCATTGGCAAGATTGGACCGTGCCACGGATGCAATGCTGGTAAGGTGGTAAGATCTTCCACCCCCCAACAAATATGGGGAATAAAAATAATTACCCTCTGGTAATTTAACATAGCTATGGAAAATCACAATCTATAGTAGTCTATAATTGGTAAATGCTCTATCAATGGGTCATTTTCCATAGCTATGTTAGTTTATCGGAGGGTAATATGCTTAGCTATGATGAATATGGGGATCGGATGAACCTGGAGTCATCGGCTCTAAGAACGGTGGAGTATTCCGGTGTTCCCCAAGGAAAAAATGCGCTTGGCTGATATTCAGCCAATGACAGTCCGCCCTTATTTTGGGATACCAATGGTGTACCAACATGTTTTTTGTGTGGTGTTTCTTGTTGGTGAGGCGATTTTGGTGGATGAATGATGGGGAGGAATTATGGATGTATGCTGATCAGGCAACACTCCAGATACTTGACCTGGACCCAAAACATAAACACATAACCATTAGGACAAAAAACTGCAAAGTCATTCTTTGGCTCAGCCACTTGATATTGACATAATCCAAATATCAAGCTTCAAGACATACCGAACTAGCTTTTGGATCCATTTGGATGAAAGCTGAGGCGTCACACTGGAGCCAGCCAAGGTTTACGCAGGCGTGGTCTTAAACGCATAATCACCCAGGAAGTTGAATATCTGTAGACATGAAGGGCTCTGGCATGGTTGAATTCCTTTCCAAAAATGTGAAATGTGGAGTTGCATCAAAACCTATAATGACCTCTATAATATACATTAATATGCTGCATCCCATTTCTAGTATAGGATGAATTACATTCCGACTGCTCCATTCTAAAACTTCCATGTTCAATATGGGGCCATCGGCCGATCATAGGCAACCCCTTCATCATCACCATCGCGGGAGAGTGGCTTGACCCCGAGAGCGATCGCCCGATCCTGAGGGAAAGATGGCCAAGGAGATTTGACCAAAAATCTCTGTGTTTTTGGAACGTTCCAACATGCGAAGACCAGCGGATATCCGGTGGTATGGGAGTTTGAAGGCCTTGTGAGGCCATTTTTACCAGACAATTGCAGTAGATTTACTTACATGATCAAATATCTTACATGAATGGTGATTTTGGAGGTCAATACAGGTAAATATACAAGACAGTTAAACCCAAACACTGCCAAACACGTAAGCAGACAATGCGTGCATTTTAAGGTGCTTCCCACGTGAGAAGTCTTGGCATTTGCTGGTCCTGTTATTTGTGCGTGTGTTTCTTTGTGCCAGCTGTGTTGCCAGAACATCACCCCACAGGGTGTAATCATGTTACATGATATATACCCTCCGGTAAATTAACATAAACCCTCCAAAAAAAACAATGTTTCATGGAGACTAATCTTCCAACCCCTATCTATAGTCTTTTACTGGAGGGTATATATACATATTTATATGTTCTTTACATACACTGCAACTACTACCTGGTTTATTGGCTGATCATAAGCCCTCAGTATCAGCCAATCAGATCTCACATGCTGAAGCCTGTGGGCCTTCCGTGGCGGTCTGAGGTGTTTTGCTGATCGACCCGCAATCAGAATGTGGTCAGACGCAGGTGCCATGCCCAGGGCGCACATAGGGATACGCCAAATTTGATGGCCAAAACTTATTTACAAACATTTAATGGATCCCTATTTCCTTTTCACCGGGATGCCAATCTTTATGAACTTCTGGGGTAATTCCCGACCCTGGGGAACCCCTCTGAGAATTCTCCAAATAGCCATGGATTTATTTTTTACTTGCTGGACATGGCCATTGCCCATTGCCCGTAGCTGGAGATGACCGGTTGTAACTTCTGACGTCACGGATGGTTTCAGTTCTGAGGTGCATCACGGTGGGGCTGCCTGCAACGAGTTTAGTTCCAGCTCTTATCGCTTGGTCTGTGGCAACGGCAGGGTGGCCGAGCAGCTGATCAGATTGTAGCCATTTTGACTTGGGACTTTGATACCTGGGGGGTCTAAGTATGATCATGATATCCGTTGTGTCCAGAATCATCTACTGTACATGCTTTGACCAGACAGACCAGAAGGGCCAAAATATATCAACATATGTCGAACATCGGAATATCACAACATATCACAACAAATATCTGAAAGGCATCCATCAAGGTATCCATCAAGGCATCCATTGGATGCTGAGGTGACTTCTCCGTGCGGCTCCAGAACCCCGGCACGTGCTCCACGGCAGACCACAGGAGACCACAGGTCTGATGCTGGTCTAAGCTGGCTATTGCGGAAATCTCATCCCATCTCATCACCACAACAGCAAAAAACACTAAATCCAGGCATAGTATATATATATATAATATGATATGTATATATATATATAATGATCATTATCTGTGGGTGTCCCATATAAATATAAATATTACATATATGTAAACATAGTTTTACATTTAAGAGAACAAATAAATGATGTCAGGTTTTCAGGCTCGCTGCTTCGATTGTTCCCCGGACATCGCCCCAGGTACAAGATCTGCGTGTGCGATGCTAGCGCCTCCATCCAGCGCAGCCAAGATGGCAGCACTAACATCACTACAGGTCCCGCCTCGGAATCGATGGTGGAACGGTGGAACTGTGACCGGAGATTGCTAGGGAACATGGTGACTTGAGGCTTTTTTTTTGAGTTCATAAGCTTACAAAAGGTAAGAAAAACACATAATTTAATGTAGCTTCAATTAGTTCAAGCGGATTTTATTTCCGATTTGTTTTGGGGTTGCTATGCGTATTATATAATGCTGTCAATTTAGCTTCACGCTGTTTCTTGGAATTGCATTTTTTGAAGCTTTGCTGTTGCGCTCAGTAGGCTTGCTGCTAGCAGTGTGGTTTGGGGAGACACATGTTTTCAATTTTAACGGAACCTTTTATGGTAAATATTTGTGAATGTATAGGAAGGTATACTGTACTTAGATGGGTGGAAGTAGACTAACAACTCCACGCCACAGGTAACAAACTACATATATATATATATATGACTTGATATTGCTTATGTAGTTACCAGAAACCATATATGGATATCACTAGTTACACAGCATGGGGGACCGTGGTGCTGGCAGGAAACTACGAAGCTGCAGGGATCCAAGGTTCAGGTTGCGTCCTTGCCTCAGATGAATCATTTGAATTCATTTGGTATGTCCAACAATGGGTATTTACCCTCTGGTAAACTAACATAATTATGGAAAATCATCATTTTTAATGGGAAAACCAACTAGAAATCACCATTTTCAATAGTTATGTTAGTTTACCAGAGGGTAATGAGAAAATAATGATGGCAACAAACTATATCAAACTATATCAACTTATTATGGGTATTATATCATTAATGAGAAAATAATGGGTATTTAATGAGTTGATTTCTTGCGGTACCAAATAATGGGTGAATCATCCGTAGCATAGGGAGTCCCCATGAAATCCCTACAGAATGGACGGTCCATTCAGCAGGGTGACATGGTGCAAGGCCACTCCGGATCTATACCTGCACAATCCGGAGCAGGGGCTGCCACCTCAGCTGGGCCGAGCATGCTTATATAAACTTATACAATCTAATACATTATGTAAGTAATGATATATCTATATGCAATTGTATGAGTTATGGAATATTACGATACTATATATATATATACACATATGCATGCATATCACACACACATTTATATATATATATATATATGTATATCAAAGGCAGAGATGGCTTTGAAGTGGTCAAGAAAGCAGGCCGAGGCAAAAAAGGCCCTCCATTTCGCCAAGAAAATGTGCTCCCCATTTGAGGGATGATGATCCCCAACAACGTTGGCACACCGTCTTGGATGAAGCGGTAAACTGCCATAGTTTGCTATTTTTATAATATACTCATCATCCATGGGCATCCAAGGATTTGTCTCATAACCAAATATCAATATTTACATGTATATTATGATATGTATATATATATATATACATGTAAATAATGTAAGTATGTTCTGCTTCAATCACATATTTTGACAACTGTTTGTATCATGTCCAATCCAATCCCATTTTGGTGCTAGAATCCCCATGTTTTAACCGCCGAATCTGTCGCCCCATGTTTTAATCGTCCCTTTACAGGACGCCATACAAGGTGATGTCCCTGTTGGCTAAGTTGGTTGAACTAAGTAGCTGGATCAACATTGGTTAGATACTTTAGTACTTTAATCTTTTGCTTCCAATGGTGAAATGTACTAACCAGCATGTTTTTTTTGGGGGGGGCAGGTATCTAAGATTCACCTTGTCGTAGGTCTATCTTATCTTATAGTTAATTGTGTATTACTGACGAACCTGGGGAACTCGTGAAATTCCAGGTCTGTGTTAATTTCAAGAGACGGTATTGGTCAAATTTTGGGTGTGATTCTACCCCAAAAATGAATGGTTAACGCATGTTAATGCAAAAAAAAAAACAACTTAACAACTTCAGCTCCATATGGATTCCATTATAAGACATCATATAAAACCTTCATTCGAGAATTGTCCGGCTAGCCAGGTTTGATTACTCTCCACTATTTTCTAACAGTTTGCTTTTTGGAAAATTGATGAAAATTGCCCAAAATCATAGATGATCATGATTATTGAATATTATTGACCTACTAAGAATGGTGATTTTCCATGATTTTCCATGGCTAGGTTAGTTTACCAGAAGGTTTTCCGAACGGAAAATCCTGGCCACTGAGGGCCATCATCGAAGCCTTCGAGGTCGTTTTGCCAAGCGAAACAGCTCCCAGCACTGGCTTGTCCTCAGGCGCGCCGTGAGCAACGGGGATTTCAGTGATTTCACCGTGAGCAACGGGGGATTTGATGTCATTTTATGGGATTTACTGGGCTTCAATGAGTTTTTCTTGGGGATTCACCATGATTTAAATGGGATTGCATGAAGATCAAGTGGGAGAATACCCAACCATAGCTGCCATAGCTATTTGGATTTGCTTGAAAATTAACAGTGTACCCAAACATTGCCATCTTAATGGGGAAAATGATGAAGCAATGGAGTTAGGGGTTACCAAGTTTCAGACAACTTAATCCCTTTCCCCCAATATCAAACCACCCCCACTATCCCCCACTCTGGTTTATTATTCCCCACCTGCCAGGTGAGGGTTATTAGATTTTATGTCAGTTGCCTGGTCCTCCTCCTCCTCCTCGTCCTCCTCCTCCTCCTCCTCTCCTCTCCTCCTCCTCTCGTTGTCCTCCTCCTCTCGTTGTCCTCCTCGTCCTCCTGCTCAACTGCGACTCGCGATCCACAGTGTTCTCTGTCGGACCTCAACCACGACCATGCACGCCCAGTGTTCCCTGCCGGACCTCAACCACGACCATCCACGCCCAGTGTTCCCTGCCGGACCTCAACCACGACCATCCACGCCCAGTGTTCCCTGCCGGACCTCAACCACGACCATCCCCGCCCAGTGTTCCTTGCCGGACCTCAACCACGACCATCCACGCCCAGTGTTCCCTGCCGGACCTCAACCGCGAGTATCCCCGCCCAGTGTTCCCTGCCGGACCTCAACCGCGACCATCCACGCCCAGTGTTCCTGCCGGACCTCAACCGCGAGTATCCACGCCAAAAGATATGCCACATAGAGTGCCAGAAGATATGCCAGATAGAATGTTAGAAGATATGCCAGATAGAATGCCAGAAGGTATGCCAGATAGAATATGTATAAATGTCATGGTGGGGATCACACGAAGTAAAGTAATTTGATTCTGATTTTTTGGGGTCCTAATAATATGTCCTAATAATACGGGGGTAGTTAATATTAGGGAATTTCCTGCACTTAATTATGTTTTTTCTACTTTCCCACTGGTTCATCCACATGTTCATCCACCATGATGTTTTTTCCCCACCTGCCAGGTGAGGGTTGTTAGATTTTATCAGAGCGCATGCCCGCCGCCTCTTCCTCCTCCTCCTCCTCGACTAGCTGTCCTCCTCGCCCTCCTCCTCGCCTCCGCCTCTTCCACCTCCACTTCCGCCTTGCCAACCTTGCCAACTCGTCGCCAAGCTCTTCGCCAACTTCCCAGCTCAGTGCGCACTGCTGGACGTCTCAAGCCTGCGACCTCAACCTGCGAGCTGCCCAGCTCAGTGTGCACCGCTGGACATCGCTGGACCTCAACCTGCGAGCTGCCCAGCTCAGTGTGCACCGCTGGACCTCAACCGGGGACCTGCCCAGCTCAGTGTGCACCGCTGGACCTCAACCGGGGACCTGCCCAGCTCAGTGTGCACCGCTGGACCTCAACCGGGGACCTTCCCAGCTCAGTGTGCACCGCTGGACCTCAACCTGGGACCTGCCCAGCTCAGTGTGCACCGCTGGACCTCGACCTGGGACCTGCCCAGCTCAGTGTGCACTGCTGGACCTCAACGGGCAGATAGAATGCCAGAAGATATGCCAGATAGAAAGTCAGATAGAATGCCAGAAGATATGCCAGATAAAATGCCATGAGATATGCCAAATAGAATGCCAGAAGATATGCCAGATAGAATGCCAGAAGATATACCAGATAGAATGCCAGAAGATATGCCAGATAGAATGCCAGAAGATTTGCCAGATAGAATGCCAGATAAAATGTCAGATAATATGCCAGAAGATTTGCCAGATAGAATGCCAGAAGATATGCCAGAACATATGTCTGAAGATATGCCAGATAGAATGCCAGAAGATATGCCAGAAAATATGCCAGAAGATTTGCCAGGTAGAATGCCAGAAGATATGCCAGAAGATATGCCAGAACATATGCCAGAAGATATGCCAGATAGAATGCCAGAAGATATGTCAGAATATATGCCAGGAGATATGCCAGATAGAATGCCAGAAGATATGTCAGATAGAATGCCAGAAGATATGCCAGATAGCATGCCAGAAGATATGCCAGATAGAATGCCAGAAGATTTGCCAGATAGAATGCCAGAAGATATGCCAGAACATATGCCAGAAGATATGCCAGATAGAATGCCAGATAGAATGCCAGAACATATGCCAGAAGATATGCCAGATAGAATGCCAGATAGAATGCCAGAAGATATGTCAGATAAAATGCCAGAAGATTTGCCAGTAAGACAATGTATAAATGTCATGGTGGGGATCACACGAAGTAAAGTAATTTTTTGTGATGGGTCACTTTAGGAAATCCAAGGCTAAGAAAATCAAATAAGCACTTTTTGGATCTGTTTGGTTGTTTTTTTTTGCACTCCACCTGGGATGATGACGACGAGGACGATGATTGCGATTCCATCGTAGCTTCAAAGCGTGAGCCAAAGGATGTAATGCCACTCCAATGTGCCGCAAATTCAGGTTTTCAGGTTTTCGGCTTGTTCTAAATATCCCATACAGTACATGTTGTAGTTTCAAACCGCTTCGCCAAAATATAATATATATATATGTATATATATATGTATGTGTATATTATATATATATGTATGTGTATATTATATATATATATTGTTGTTTCCCAAGAACATACACGCATATACATACACACTCTCTCGGACATGAGTTGGCCAATACTACATAATATAGTTATAGGGATACTCATAATAGATACTCGTATTTACTATAATTATATAGATATTAAATTTACTAATAGTTGCTAATGATAGCACTGATAGCATTAAGAATTACTAATATACCAATTATTAATAATTTACTAATAGATACTAATATTGATATACCAATATACAGTTACTGATATTACTATACAGTTACTAATGTTAGCATTTATATTTATTAATATAATAAGATTCTATCAATTAGTAGCATCTAATATACTTAATATCAATGATACTTACTACTTATAGTATACTTATCAACTAATATATATATATATGTATATATTTCTGTTCAATTATTAATAACAAAATAATTATCAACTAATTAGTTAATTATACTTATCCCAATTAGTATATACTTATCAACTAATATACTAATTAGTTCTTTGTTCCCATGGAGGTGAACTTATTGGCATCGCCTGCGGTGGAATCTTCGTGGTGGGCGTCCTGGGGCTCGTGGCGGCGTACTGGGCCCCTTGGCGTCGGAGGAGTTTTCTCGGAGTCGGGGGGTGGCCCTCGGGGAATCGTGGCTGGAAAATCCATGGAAATCCTAGCTTTGAATGGGGGTTTTCATGGGAAAACCAGCTGGAAACCCATGGAAAATCCATGGAAAATCCTAGGTTTCTTGGGGTTTTCCATGATTTCCAATGGATTTTCCATGACTTTCCATTGCCATTTGATCTAGATTTGATTACTCGAGACTAGTTACTTGAGGAGTTTGGGGTTGTAAACGGTTATAAAGTCAGTTACTAAACTATTATATACATTGTCACTTTGGGATACTTTAGGTGGATTGTCTCAGCTTAGCAGACCATTACACTCCATTGTGTTGATTGGTTACATTATAGAGGACTATGAATCTACCTGGTTTATTGGAGATTCTTTTTTTGTGCATAGCTCACGGGACGCCAACCAAGCACTAGAATGGGATGAGATAGGGTTATCTTTCGGGGCTCCAGGTGATGAGCCGGGTGGAAGGCGAATGCACTTTTCAGTTTCGAGAAATCAGGCTGTGGTTGGTGGTTGGTTCCAGCCATATATGTTTGCTGTCAAGTGCTTTGGAATATTAATGTTATGTGTTTATCCGATTTCTATCTCTAGCTGGGAGGAATAACCCCCATGCTTCCATGCGACCCATGAAAAAAAAACATGTTCGTCAGCGTTCGTCATCACAATTTGCCATCTCTAGATATCTCCAGCTTGGGTTCACTTTTGGCAGCTCATATGTTTTGATTGTTTTGTGATTGGTGGTTCCACGGCCAAGCATTGCTTGAATTGAATGGATAAATCATGATAAATCATGTGCAGCGAGTCATGTTCCCCTAAGAATGGGTGTTGATCACGATTCGGCCCATATGGACCAAAAACAGATTTCCTATGATTTCCTGCCATATCCTGCCATCCCATCCGCCATCGCCACGGCCGCCATGTCACTGAGATCCGGAAGAAGTGCTTCCAGCCAAAGCTGGTGAAGGCGGGCAGCAGAATACGTGTTGGAAACCTAGGGCTGCAGATGCTTTGAAGATGTTTGAAGATGGTTAAACCAAGCTAAAACATGTTGAACCAACAGAATTTAATGCGGGGATGAAACCAAACAAAAACAAAGTGAAGATCTAGGCATGGATTGTTTACTAAGAACATTGCTACCCCCGACGGCTTCAATCATGGGGATTCAACCTTCGCCAGGTGGTAGATGAGTCCTACGCAAAAGAGGGCAAGGACTGTGGGCAGTGCCAGGATGGCCCGTGGGCTTCATCCATCGTTGGCCGCGGGTGTTGGTGAAAACCCGTGGCGTTTTATGATGTAATTTATTGTGAAGGTGGGACAGCAGAATCCGAGAAAATTTTCGGATACATGGAGAGAAGACCAATAATTATTGGCATTTTACCATTAATGTTTCTTCAATTATTAGGTAGGGGATAACAGTTTCTACCATTAATATCCATTAATAATTGGAAAAGAACAATACTCCCCATAGTTGTCAACATTCATGCACTTTCTTCCCTTGGCATCTTCTGTTGGCTGCATGGAGGCGCGCATGCATGAGCGATGATCATACCTGGCTGAGCTGGTGATGGTCAACTTGGGTAAGTAGTCAAAACAGATTCGCTGACTGACAACCCACGGTTATAACATGTTAGAACTTATTGTTGTAACTTGGAGATATAATCCAATCATAATCCAATCTAGAAGAGTTCAACCAGAAATACCAGTCACAAACTGGGATGAACAAAAATGACCTTAGGCGGATTCAATCCTGTGTGACTGTTCCTGTGTGAAGTATCCCTCTGGTTATTTAACATATTGCTTGGAAGCCAAGGACTAAAATTGAGTTCCATGGTGATTTTCCACTTCGCCATGTTACCAGATGGTACCTGTCATAGAATTGGATGATGGGAAAATTTACTGGTTTAAGCCCTATATTTGATGGTAAAACCATGGTTTCCGGCGTTTCCGGTGTAGATTTTCCCTTAAACCAATCCAGATGGTACCTGGATTGATGACAGACATTGGTTAAACATTGACAGCAACCAGCTGCGTGCCGCGCCTCCAGGAGGGTCTTGAGGCGCCGGTCGTGGCAATGGGAACAAATGCAGCGAATATGTTTAGCCTCCGGTGGTAAGCCAGGGAAAGCTGGAAAATGCCCGAAGCAAATGGAGCTCTGAATGGCGACATGTTCTATGAATGGGTGATTTTCCAGCACGCCTTCTTTGATTCCTAGAGGGTATATACTGTAATGGGAACACAATTCTTGAATGGATAAATGCAGATGGTGTAGATTCGATGAGCGCAGAGGGCAAGTACTCTAGTTGAGCGCAGAGAGCCTGACTCCAGCTGTGGTTTTCTTGCTATGGAAAAATCCAGCATGATCATGGCAATGGAAAATCCCTATGTCTAGATGAATTTTCCACTAAACATGTCATTTATTGTGGATTTCCCACCGGAGGGTATACCATCATTCAGCTCCATCATTACTTTCATCATTATCAACAGATTTTCCCATGTTCACCCCCAATTAAATCCCATTATATCCCTAATTGATTTCACTCTATCACCGTTATGACCCATTAAATCCCCATGAAATCCCTATCAAATGTTTTTTTTCATCCCTATGAATTCCCCATGTCATGTCTTCAGGCCGGGGTGGTCTGGGCCTTGGATCCCCAAGGGATTTCATGCGCAGTGGCTGCTATAACCCCCTGTTTTTAAATGGTGATACCCTCTGGTAAACGTTTACATAACTATGGAACATCACCATGCTATTAATGGGTAGTGATATACTGACCATCAAACTGGTGATCTAATGGAAATAAGAATGGAACTACCCTCTGGTAAACGTTTACATAACTATGGAAAATCACCATTTTTAATGGGAAAACTCACTATAAATGGCGATGTTCAATAGCTATGTTAGTCATTACCAGATGGTAAATGATGATGTACTCGCCGGTGTCTTTAAGCATTGCTGCCTGGGAAATCCTCGATGGAAATGAGAGATTTTCCGGCACGCCATGTTTGCCTACAGATGAGGGGAACAACAGATGGACACCTGCCCCAAAATGAAGATAACGATTAAGATTATGGACTAAATTTCAACAAGAAGATCAATCAGATTTGAAATTCTCAGACACCCCAGCATCCTCAGCATCAGATGGGCCACTGTTGAAGGCTTTTAAAAGGGCAACAGTGCCCAGATGCTCCAAGAGTTTGGCATCCTCAATGGAGTTACCAGTTGAAGGTTCGAAAAAAAACCTGTTTGAAGTACAGAAAATGAGGCAAAATCTCCGTCACAATCACCAGAATCCCATGATTTGACAGCAAGGTGCTGTCAGAATCTGTCAGATATGTTCACTTTTGTTCTGCTCATGATCCCCAACAAACAGAGCCTTGAGAAACCAACCAGAATCTGTTTTTGTTTGGCTCACCTCCCAGACACCTCAAGTGTAGTTGTATAATTATCCCATTACATTCTTCCCCTAGCCCGGCTATTCCCATATTATGCCACACTTTTATCATGTATTATCTCACAAGGATCCAAGAATTTACCTAATCTTGGCCTCGGCCAAGGATCAGAACGTGCTCCAGTTCTACGAGTCCTATTACCAGCCAGGGCCTCGAGATGGTCCATGGGAGGTTTAAAAACGTGTATGTGTTTGACCCAACGGCATGAGCTTCTGTCAGTGCCAAGTCTCCCAAATGTTGAGCTCAATAGATGCAAAGAGGCTCCGACAGAAGGACTTCATCGGCATGTGGTCCACGATTTAAGTGAGCTTCATCTTAGATTAGTTTTAGAAATTTAGAAAACCACGCCATCAAGAAATACATACTATACCGTGTTTCAATAATTAATGATGTGTAATGGTATGATAATGGTAAATACATACTATAGTGACCATATGTTCAATGGTAAATAATCATAGAATCATAGTGTTTACCATACTTTTGTAATAATGCCCTGGTTTTGCGTTGGATCATGTATTGAGGGAAATGTCGGCCAAGGTCATTGGGATATCCACCTGGTACTGCAGCACAGGCGCGTGTTATCGCTGATTCATTGGTGTTCCATCATTTGTGGACCCTTCCATCCCCCTAATATTAAACACTCCCATTCCATGGTCCAAAGTATGTGGACATTTCCTACTAAACCATGGTTTCTGAGGGGGATGTTTAATATTAGGGTGATGGAATTATTGATGGAGTGTTCAGTGAATGATTGAAATCAATAGTAGTGCATAGTATAGCTCGTGTTCCAATCTAATTGGTCCCGTGGCATTTTTCGCCATCACCAGGTACGTCCGTCAATGTGTTACTTTTTTTTGCGCTTCTATGGGGTTGCAACTGCTTTTTTTTCATACCTATTATTTTCCTACAAGCATCCTGTATTACCGAGATGCAGCCTTTCAAAACACGGAAGAATCAGGATGACCAAACAGAAGTTGAGTCATGGTGAGCCAAACTGGTTTGGACCACGACACGATGTGCAGAAAAGAAAGCCACTAGAATCATTGGGGTGACAAGCCTACTTGAGTGGTAGGGCCTGGTAGGGAGCCGAGGAACTATGGGTATCCATATTCCCGATGAAATGCGGAGCCAAGGCTACAATTGTAGCGGCTACAAAGAGTTTCCAAACCACATGAAAATAATGGACATGTTGAGACGATCCAAATGGCTGTCATATTTTGTTCAGGGCTGCTGGGCTTACTTTTCAAGCGGACCAACATGCTTGAGCCAGAATCCTAATCGACCAGGCTCACCCTATCATTGCTGATGCCTTCATGTGTATCAGCCATATCACCCCAACAAAAGATGTGTGAAACATGGGGTGGAACGCTTGTCATCCCACCACATGGAGCTTGCCTCATTTGTCAGGTACTGGGAGCCAGTGTCGGACAGCAGCATCAGTTGGCCCTTGCAGGGCCCATGGGAGGCAGCTGATCGTATCGTCCCGTGGGGGAATTGAACCACCAGTTCGGGACCAAGAATGACCAGATCCAGTCCTAAACCTGGATTCCATTTTGCGTTAACTATTGGGGAGGGATTGCTAGAGCAGGATTTCGGGTGGGTGTTGATTACTCGGAGGGAGGAATTGATAAATTTTTGCGCGTTAACACGCCCCACACACAGGTGCTATGATGGCCGTCCTGCACTCAGTTACGATGAAGAGTTGTCTAAAAACCCTTTGATGATCGCATACATTTTATGGATTTTTTTGATTGGGGTTTTGGGGTTGGTGGATCCTATGTCTATCGTTCCATGAATTCTAGATTTTGTTCTTTCTGTTTCTATCAGTTCTGGCAGTGGCAAGATGCATCCGAGGGGGCACCAGCTGGAACACCTGCCTTGCAGGACTGGCCTGGCTGGGTTGCTGGATGGTTTCCATCAAGTTTCCCTTGAGATCCTAACGTGAAAATTTAGGAGCCATCATGAACAGAACATAGCTCATATTCTTGGATTCGCCCAGATTCATGGGTTAATCATGAATGGAATAGGCAAGCTCCATTTCACAGGTGGTAATTGAGCTGCTCAGCTCTTGCATTGAGGTGATCACCTGTCACCACAGAACTTTATTGGGAATGGCGATATATTTTATTGTGCTTGTTGTTTGTGACGCGTTGTTTCCGAGGGATTTTGCGTTGCCTACCCTTCGTTGTTCCTTTACACACACACACATGTGTGTGTGTGTGTGAATTTGTCGTTGTCGTTGTCGTTGTCGTTGTTGTTGTTGTTGTTGTTGTTCTTTTGTGCGTGGGGCACGCGTCAAGGCAGCCAAAGTTGATATTTACAGATGAACATGTTATCATCATCATCATCATCATGATCATCATCATCGTCATCATCGTCATCATCGTCATCATCATCATCATCGTCATCATCATCATCATCATCATCATCGCCATCATTATCATCATCATTGGCATCATCATCATCATCATCGTCATCATCATGATCATCATCATCATCATCAATGTTATCATCAGTGTTATCATCAAAATCATCATCATCAATGTTATCATCATTGTTATCACCAACATCACCATCATCATCATCATCGTTATCATCATCATTGTTATCATCATTGCTATCATCAGTGTTCATCATCATCATCATCATCATCATCATCATCATTGTTATCACCAACATCATCATCATCATCATCATCATCATCATCATCATCATCATCATCATCGTTACCATCATTGTTATCATCATCATCATCGTCATCATCATCACCTTCATCATCATCACCATCATCATCATCATCATCATCATCATGATCATGTTCGTGTACATCCAGAGGCACGTGTTATCCGCATGGACCAGGCCCTTCTCAGCCAGGACGCAGCCTGGATGGCACCCAGACCTATGTCAGCGTGACCTGGACTGGAAGTGGCAGACCTGTGGCCCCATAGTTTGCTAAGCGACCCACTCAATCTGACTGTAGGTCTTCAAGGTATGAACCAATATGGATTTGTATGGCTTCATTCAGATGAATTGAATAGATGGATTCATAGATCTTTATAGACAACAGATTAGTGTGGACTAATAGCTGGCTGGTGGTTTGGAACTTGTTTTATTTTCCATATATTGGGAATAATCACCCCAACTGACTTTCATATTTTTCAGAGGGGTTGAAACCACCAACCAGTATATATAGTTAGATATGTATAGATATGTTAGATGATGTTCAGCAAGATGCTGAACTCCCAGAGAGGGTGATGGAGGGTGATGGAGGGTGATGGAGGGAGAGAGAGAAAGAGAGAGAGAGAGAGTCCACAATTTTTGGTTGCTGACATTGAGAAGGTTCTTTTCTCACGATTTTGGGAAGCCCGGATCCATGGCTAGTTTTTGCGGTTTATGACCCTGAATCCCTGGAAAGATAAACACGAAAATACGGCTATGTTCAGGGATTATGGTTTTATATTATATGGTTTTATCACATCAGATTCGGAATTCAAGTCATTATAGTCAAAATATGTTTGGGATATCTGGATCATGAAACTTATAAGGAAACTCATAGTCCCACAAGTTTTTAAATTATATGTTTCCAGCCAGCCATGTTTGATTACCCAACGATACATTCCCATTAGATCCACACTAAACCCCTATCAAATTATATCAAATCCATTCTAAATCCGAAATCCCACTAAATCCTTATTCTTCATGGTTAAATCCGCTAGAAATTCGCCTATTTGGAACCAGCCCATGTCCTTAGCACAGCCTTGGCAGAGGCCCTTGCAATTGGCTTTGCCACCCTCTCGGCACCCGGGGATGGCACCACCCACACCGCAAAATCGTGCGCTCTCTCAGCCCACCTTATGGTCGGTAATGGGATTTCATGGGATTCAATGAGGATATCATGAGATAACACTAGGCATCTAAATAAGTATATATAACGTATATCATTATAACATATATTATATATAACGTATATATAATGTATGTGTGTATATATATAATGTATATAACGTATATATTTCATAGGATAATGCTAATGATGCCGTAAATAACCATGGAACTAAATGATGATGCACCATGATGTATCCTCCAGTGTCCTCACACCTGGTATTTCCTGCGCTTGCATGTGGCCAGTGTTTGGTATAGTATCAGTTTGCTTTCAGTATTTGATATGACGAACCTATTGTGGCTGTTGCTTGGGGTTTGAAGTTCCGTATCAGTTGGGGTGGCAATTTGGCAAGGTGGCCGTTCCCCACGTGGAGAAACTCCTGGTTACTTGGCATGGGTCGATTGGTCGTTTCTGGGCGGCCAGCACTTGTCACAACTTTCAAAATTTCTCAATGTCAAGTTAGTATATATTAATAGTCCACTAGGGATTAATCAATTTGATTCATACGAACTTGAGACATTATTCAAGAACGGGATATCAGCATGTTTCTGTTGCATCTACTGTGGGTGCTTTGATACTCAACCAAATACTAATTTTGAGGTCTGCCATTGCCAACCCCAACATGCAAAAAGATCAGAACATGTCAAGACATATCAAGAGCATCAAACTCCTAGAATTGGGCAGCTCCCTTTGTGAAGGATTTGTAGCCCAACCATTTTAGTGTTTTCTTTTGCTGGCAGGATGTGCGGCATATGAAATATCTCATTAATATGCAAACATCGTGTAGTTATATATACTGTAAATACCTATATATATATACATGCACACATATGTATTGTCATAGATCAACATATCCAATTTTATATATATATGCCGATATATATATACATTTATTTGTACACGATATATATATACACATCATTATATAATTATATGTGTAAATATATACATATATATACATATATATATATACATATATATACATATATATGCGATTATATACGTGTATATGTATATAAATTATCGGCATTTTTTCCCCAGAATTGCTTAGATTGGAGCAAATATTAGCAGGACACCCTTTTGGAGGACGTTAGACGACCACCTATTTATGGTTGTGTCCATTGTTTTCCTCAAATCGCCTGTCGAACGGTCCGAACGGTCCATGGGTCCATTTGAAGTTGACCACGTCTGACCCAGGAAAGAGCTTTGGCGACTTGGTCTCTGAGTCCAATAGGCGATGGTTCATTCATGGCTTGCAAAACTCTGATTGGTCGGTGAGGGGAGATCAATTTGTTATTACATAAGACTTTTAAACCGTTTATGACTCTCAATATGAACATCAATATTCATATATCCTCCATGGCTATCCCTGGCTCACATTTGTGGCAATTTGATGAATTTTGATCGCAATGCATGTGTCGGCATCTTGGCTAAAATAGAAACTCAACGTCCCTTTCCTTCGTGGGACAGCTTGAGGGAGTTGAATTACTGGGTGAGATTCTCCGTTTCTATGGATGATCAAGATCAATTAAACTCCAATCTTGTTCATCAAACGATTCATGATTCATCCGTTGATTGGTACCAACATGTACCAACCGATTCCATTCATCATTATAAAAACATATCAATATACATATCGAATATCGCCCACAGCGGTGCAGGCGTCCCTCCAGGCAGCTTCCTTTATTCACCGTCGCCTGGCAGCGACGAGATGACGAGATGACATGGCAAATCGCTTTCCCAATTTGGGGAAGATCCACCATGCTATCAATGGGTAAATCCACTATTTCGACTGGGCCATGGCTTCAATAGCTACGTAACAAATTACCAGAGGGTACATTGTACATATACTGGTCAGTATAGGGTGTTGTCAAGCCTGACTGGATGAGAGATTGTAATTTTCCACAAAACAATAGATGTTGGATGTTTCTTTGCGAGTTTGGAAATCAACAGGGCGCCCCAAGACGAATTGTCCTGGGTTTCTACTAGTCCAGTTTTTTTTTCTCGGAGCATGAGCATGTCATGATTTTTGCTTTTTGAGCTAAGGCTAGTTTAGTACACAGTAGTAGGCCTGTGCTTGGGAAGTGTCAAGCCATGACACCAGCTGACAAGATGAGAATGAGAACTGAGGGCTTGAATCTTAGTTGGCTGATGTATTTCAACCTGGACACTCCAGCATCATGTTGAGTTACTAGGAGTCGCGAAAACGCAGATAGGAGTTCAATATTTTATCATCTCATATCTAATTTACTAATTAGTTATGTGGAGGTCCTAGGTAAAAAAAACTTCTCACATAGTCACAGAATCCTCGCAGTTGGCATCCATGTTCAGTCACTTGGTCATAGCTCTCATGACGGAGTGGAAGTTCAAGGTCCTTGTGGTAAAACTAGTATAGGTATCAATCCAAATTTGGTGATGTTCCATTTGTGCACCCAACTCCTGCTACCCAACTCAGTCACTATGACTGATATCTAGTTACATGGCCGTAAGAATCCCCTCTAACCGGGAATTCTTGGGTTCTCAGCGCCATAAAATTCCACAAGAATATGAATAGGTTTACATAATCCCATCCCTCTAAACCTTTAAACATCCCCCCTACTCCCAAATATTTGTAATCCCCTACAAAAGGGTGTTTAATATTGGGTGGAAGGGATTATTGATTTATTTATGTTAAATAAATATATATATATATATCTCTCTCTCTCTCTGTCACCCATTTGTTGTGTCATTTCTTTGGCGCTTTGCACCGCTTGGCTGAGGACACATCCTTACCCAAGATGCCAACCCCAACGGCCACACCACGCGGAGTGGCAACCCCACGGCAAGACGAACATTCCTTGGCTGGGGTGCCCATGTCGGAAAATGCCCATGTCGGAAAATGAGATGAATATGAGGGACGTATCCCTACATCTAAGACAAATTCTTCAGATCATACTTCTATCAGCTCTTCTTCATACTTGTTCATCCCTTAAATTTAATCAATGGGAATTTCAGGATCCTAAAGTGGAGGTACTGTACCATATACCCTCTGGTAAACTAACATAGCTATTGAAAATGGCCATTTATAGTGGATTTTCCCATTAAAAATGGTGATTTTCCAAAGCTATGTTAAATTACCAGAGGGTTAGGCACTATTTTCTGGGGACATGTGGAACTCCAGAGTGATCTTCGTGGCCACGGAGTCCAGGCTCTGGAGGATGGAAAAACGGAAGATGCAGCCATTGGAGGCGACTAAAAACTGGGGCAACAATGGAGATGTGATGGCTAGTGGCGACAAACATTAGCAAACAATTAATATGTGGCATTATTTTGCTGCATTTGAAATTAGTGCGTGTATGTTTGAATATGTCTTTGCTTTCATTACAATCAATTGATAGTTTTGGGTTGAGACCACTAGCCAGTGTGGTGCAAGCTTGTGTAGATATCTAGATGTTATCTCAAACTTTGGGCCTGTGCATGTCATCTGGGTAATTATAGTGACCTCGACCTCACTGGAATCATGGTTAGTAAGGGGAATCATCCCAAATATAGTCTTCTTTCAGGCTGGTGAAATGTTAGACTTTACCCAGATAGATAGATAGATAGCTAGATAGATAGATAGGTAGGTAGGCAGATAGATAGATAGAGAGAGAGAGAGAGCGATAAATATTTTTTTTTTAACATCGTGCACATAGACTTAAAACATATTTCCACGTAGATGTGTCATTTCTTTGTTTCCAGCAGGTGATGAGGTAGCCGTCACCGTGTCCAAGAGCTTGGAGGACGTGAAGGAACAGCGGCCCTCCACGGCAGACTCGGCGCCATGGCGAATTTGCCATGGAAAGATGGAGGTTTCACAGAAATCATAGGAAAATCATGCAAAAATCTTGGGAAAGTATGGGAAATGCCCTGGAAATGAAGATTTATTGATAGGAAAATTCATAGATGTGGGATTTTCGAGCACGCCATGTCTTGACTAGCGGGTGGTAAACATAGTGTAAATGACTGTCATTTAATATCCACTGTAGTACGTTATAATAATATATAGAATAGATTGCAATTTTTTTGAACTGATAAATCCATATAAATCCATCGGGCTACAGAAGATCTTGATAGCACATTGTTTTTCTTTTTTGAGATCTCAGATGGCAATGGGGTGTTTTTATTTTTTTCTTTGGCTATGGATCAGTAGGAATAAAGAGCAGCTATTCAGGGGAAGGAACATCATCCAATATGGGGTGGAACCCTGCCAACGTCACAGCACCGCCTTGGGGGTTCATCCTGGTGCCCAGGTGTAGGTGGTAACAACAGGGTGAAAGAGTAGAGATGGATGAATCAGTGTCTCCTCCCACGAGCATAGTCCTTTGCAGCATCCATCATTGCCGATGATATTCCTAACAATTTCGGTCAATTGCTTGCAATAGTCTGCGTTTTGGTTCCTTGGTTTGGGCTTGGGGGACGTCGAATCCCCAAGTTGCAGGGAACTAGACACATCCAGTACCCAGTACTAGTACTACTTAAATCTTCTGAACCATTTCCAAGTGGGAGCTTGATTGCAGAGTAGCAGTTGGCAAATCCAATCACGACCAATTCTGGAAAGCATCCAACAGCCAGTTTTGGGTCTCAGGTATTGAGCTGCCTATCAGATTCAACCGCTGGATCAGGCCTCACGGATGATCGAAATGTGTCAATCGGGTGGCCGTTTTTGTTGCGTTTTTGTTGCAAGGGTTTCTTTGGCTGTTTTGTGATTTGTCGTGAAAGGCATATGGCATATGATTTCGCCCCCCAGCCGGTGCTTTCACCTCATAAATTGAGAATGAAAACGATGGTTTCCAAGTATCTAAATTATCTAATATAGCATATTGTAGCGCTTCGCGCAACTCTGTGTTTTTGTTGGACCGGAAAAGGCCAGCAATTAAATGCAGTCAAGATGTTGCTCCAACACCACTGTTTATGCGAACTCATTGGTTATTGTAACATATACTAACTAACCTATAACTCTTACTCTAAGAACAAAAGAAGTTAGTTGGAATAGCCAACGACTCCGAATCCCATAGCCAGGCAGCCGCCCGGGCACAGGCGCCTGGTTTCGTTGGGTTTATGCGATTATTTTGATGCGAAGAAGACTTAACATAGTAATGATTAAAATGGATTCAATGATTCAATTCAATGTATTTCTAGTTGATGCATTTTGTTGTTGACCTTTTCTATACTTTTTGGTGATGGTTTACAGATTGGATATGGTTGGATACATTTCTGTACTGTTCCGAATTGCGGTGACAGGTTCTTATTGATAAAGACGGAAGGTTTAAGCAGCATGCTCGAATTGTGATTGTGCACCTAGTTTCTTACAGCCCATTCGATGAGTGTGTTAAGATGCGGGATTGTTTGCATACAGTTCAAGAATTTTGCCCGATTCACTGGGCCGTTGTGTAACTTTCACCAGTTTTTTGGCCAGGGTGATTTCTGGCAGCCACTGTTCATGACTATGTCACATTTTGTCACATGCGTTGCTTCAACCCACGACAGGCATGTGCCATTTCCCTTCTTTATCTAGCCATTTCCCCTCGAAATATAGGGTGGCCGGGGAGCAACCGGGTTGCCGATGTGCGTTCCAACGCAGGTGACTCTGCCAAGGACGAAGGAAATGTGGAGCTGTGCATGTGTTCTTCTGAAGTTCTATGATTTCCAGCGAAGATCCAGCCTTCGCTGACTGAAGCCTCACTGAGAATGGCTTGTTAAAGGCTCCTTGATTACCAACAAGCCATAAAAAAAAAACGGCTCATCAACCATCTATGAGAAGGTTTCCCTTCTAGAACTTCTGGAAGTGCACAAGCCAGGCTGGTGGCAAAGCCCTTTCTCCCGTTAAGGAAGAGAGAGAAGAGGAGGTCACAGACTTGGAATGAGTTGTCCAGGGTTGCAAACGCCACCGATAGAATCAGATAGACGTTTGCATTATGTTTGCATATTGCCCCGGATATGCAGAATCAGTTTGAAGATGGCAATGTGATCATGCTTGAAGCATTGTTTTTGTTACAATGGCCGGGCAACAGTAACTAACAGACTAACATCAATAAAAGTTGAAACGTCAAAATCATTGAATATAGTTACAGAAGCTGGCAATGCACCATGTGCACATTTCAGTTGGCCCGCTGCTCTTTTGTCCTTTACTATATGCATACTATATACTGAAACATTGACTTGTGAAGCTGTGTCAAAATAACAATTGAGCTCACCAGAATTTACTTACTTCCCTGGTTTGTGGTTTCAAGATGTTTCAAGCATTGAAATCGTTCCATCCATAGAGATTGAACCGGGTGATCAATCAAGTGACTTGCATAGACAGTTCCTTTATATCCAAACCCAAGACATGGAATGATGAACAGTGTGACTCCAACCATCTCCAACCATAGCCGCAGCCGCAAGGTGGGAACATCTGCATTTTTCCTGTTTTCCATGTATTTATCATTCATATTTTCCACCCATTATACCCATGTTGCGTCTTTATCTAGCCATTCTTCCCCCCATGCCATGTATCTGGGCGGCGCCCTGGTCACCCCCTGTTTTTTTCCCAGGCCAAACAGGACGACTCTCAGAGCTTCCGGACGTTCTTTAACGACAGGCGTCGTTGAAGGGATGTTTTTGTGTGCCCTCGAAATTTAATTTTGAACGTGTTGGATATGTTGAAAATAAATATGCGTTAACATGTTTCAACAATAGTGTGGTATGTGTTTAACCTCTGCGATCAAGCCTGTTTTATGGTTCAGAACGTTTCACCAATTTTACCTCACTTGATCGAGAATTGTGAATCATTATATAACCATCACTAACCATGATTAATCATCACTAACCATCATCAATCAGCACTAGCCATCACGAACTATCATGAACCATCACTAACCATCATCAACCATCATTAACCAATGTGATTATATCTTATTTATCTCTTTTTGTTGCTTGATTATTGGATCCCCAAGTTAACTATCAATATCAATGTTAACTAACCATCATTAACCATCATCAACCATCATCAACCATCATTAACCATCATCAACATCTATTGACATTTATTGACATTTATTAACATTTATTAACATTTATTAACCATGATGACTAACCAATATTAGCCACTATTAACCACCATTCCTTTCTTATTGGATCCCCCTGTGTCCATCTCGGACCAGGGTCACCAAGCTGCTGTCCACCGAAGGCGATGCCGAAGGAACAAAAAGGGCTGTTGGACGTGGTTTTTCGTTTCGCCATGAGAAAATGGAGGTTTTAACATGTTTTAACCATGAAAAATGATGAACATATGGAGATTTAAGCCACCAAAAATGATGGTTTAACCATGAAAAATATTGAAAAATGGAGGTTTAACATGGTTTAACCCATCAAACATATCCAAAAATGCTGGTTTCACGATGAAGTTGCGGACTTGACGGACTTTACCCAACAAAACAATGGGGGTTTTAACTTGGTTTGACCGTCGTTGTTTGGGTGAATTATGACAATCCCACTGCGACGTCACGGATTCCTGCGATTTTCCTGTAAAGGCAACATGAATATCATATATGATATATTATGATATATAGGTCTGGGTAAATTATAACGACCTCACTGCGACCTCACTGGAATCATGGTTATAACGACCTCACTGCGACCTCACTGGAATCATGGTTTTATGGGAAATCATCCCCAAATGGCCTTAATTCAGGTTAGTGAAATATTATAATTTACCCAGATAGGTGTTCGTGGCTATATTAAAACAACATTTGAACTGTGATTGCACTGTATTTTCTTTTGGGCTGGTTCCTTGACGTCTCATAGAACAACAACAACCCATCAATGGTTGGTGCCTGGTGCATGTTGGGAGCTCTGAGGGTTGCCGCTATCAGGTGACGCCGAACGAAAACCTCTCTTTGGTTCTTTTAGTGGCCGGGGCCTACCAGTCTTGGAGTTTGCGTGTGCCCATGAGTATACAACATTGAGTAGGTATCACTTCAATTCAACTTGCCGACCAATGTGCTGCAAAACTTCATTTGATTAAATATTGTTAGTTTAACTGACAAGATATGGAGGTTACCCAGAAGCTGTTTCAGTAAGGGTCAAAATCAAAAATGATCAAAGAGACAACTTGGGTGAACTTCCAAATCGTCCATCATTTCAGGTTGATGCAGGTTGTTTGTTTCAATTGGCTATTTTTATATAGTCATGAGTCATAATGCAATCATATACCCCTGCATTATACTAGTCGTCTCAACATGTTCCAAGGCGTTTCAGGTGGCCAAAACTGACACGGTTCCAAGGCAAGAGCTTCGGGGACCTGGTGTCCGAGTCCAGGCCAGCCATGGAATTGGAAAAGGAGAGGACACGGGAAAAGTTTGCATCAATGGGCAATGCATATATAGATATATATAGAATTATATATACCTGTATCATCAAACAACCATTAAATTTTGGTCGTTTTGGTTTTCTGCCCGTTTCAGAAAATAATGGTAATTCTGCCCGGTTTGGGCCATTTCTGCCCGATCCCAACTTTTCTGCCATGTGTTTTTTCCACACGTGGAGTCTCTTGCCACATCACATCAAATCATCCAACCTTCAGCAATTCCTGCCGGTAAAGGTACAAACACTTCTGTGTTGCTATATAAAAAGCAGGTGGTGACATGAACGTGACAACCGTGAACATCTTCCGATGTGATCTTCGTCTTGCTAACACCCCCAGCCTCAGTCAATGGGCCATACCAAAGAAAATCATCAAAAGATATCCCTAACTGAAAAGCACTTCTATACCCCCTGCTCAAACGTAGAACAGGGCCTCATGAAGAAGAATCTGATCCACCAGGTGTGTTGAAAAGCATCCCAAGAATGGCTACAGCTATGCAGCCAGCAATCAACCCGCTTGGTGTGTCTGCGGGTGGCTGACCCGCTTTGCTAAATCAAAAGAATTTGCCATTTAAACCTAGCTTTGCTGCGATAAAATACATTTTGTCAAAACACATCAGGGCAGAAATCCTGATTTGCGCCCGTTTGCGGGTTTTTGTGTGCGGATTGCGGGTTTTTGCGCCCGATTTGCGGGGCAGTTTTGGTCCGGAAAAACTTGAAAATTGACGATTTGCTGTTTTGCGGGGAGTTGCCGTCCCAAATCTGCGGCGAGAATACGTGTGAATCATACGTGTTTTGCATGACTGCCTTAGGTCTGGTGAATAACTCCAAATAAATAGTTGTATGCGTGAAGTCCCACACGCAAACAAACACACACCTGTCTCAGATGGTACATCTTTGAATCTTTGCGAGC